CGACGCTCAAAACCTAATCTCGAAATGCATTATGGGGACAGGTCAATGACTAAAACTTCTCTGTACTATAATTCATCTTGGAACATTACACTATACTGTAGCATTCTCGTCCAACCAGTAGAAACATGAACATGCAAACTAGGTTCTGCTATGAGATGGTAGGTTGTGTTTTATGTGTATGCTTTTGTATTGATTCAGATTTCTTGCGGAGCATTGATGTTTGGTCTGTGCATAGCCCTCGGAACTCTCCTAGGTTGGCATATCTTCCTCATCTCTCGCAATATGACCACTATCGAGGTACGTATCGTTTTAAATGAAGATGCGAAGACATGATGAGTAAGAAATCCATGCAAAATGATTGTAAATGCGTGAATTTCTTCAGCACTATGAATCAAAACGGTCTGCTTGGTTAGCCAGAAAATCTGGACAGAGCTTTAGGCATCAGTTTGACCTTGGCATCTACAAGAACCTCGCCTCGGTACTACCACCCTTTACCTTGCTCTTCATCATTCATGACGTGAAACTGTTCAATGGTGTCTATGTGAGTGCGTTTTGGCATGAAATTTACTGAAAAATGTTCATTCTTGAGCAGGTGTTAGGCCCCAACATGATTAAATGGTTATGTCCTTCATCCACTGGCCATCTTAAAGACGGGATTAGCTTCCCGACGACAAGAGAGAACTGATCTCAGCTCCAGTTACCGATCTTAGGTCCCCAATAAGTTTAGAAAGAGCCCGAGAACTCGTTCATCGGCTCCTGCAATTCATGCAAATCAGATGGAAAATACAGTACGCCTCACTGTCCCGTTGGATTCCACCCGGCAAATGCATCTGCGTATAGTTCTGCGAGTGTTTCTTGAGGTGTCCATACCCGTACAATGCCACCATCTTATAGCTATAGACGAAAGTAATATAGCTACTAACGATATAAGATAATACATTATTTTTGTGATGGGTAGTCTTAAACCAACATTTTTGTCTGATATTCGTTTTGTATACAGGATGCTTTGTAATCGATATTTATTTTTGTATGAAAATAGGGCCTAAGAGCGCCAAATAAGAGTCTAGGGCTTGATTGAATGATTCGAGTTAGATGAGGGATTTATTTGGAAAATTTTGAGTACGTATATGTACGCGTGCGTGTGTGTGTGGCCCTTCCCGTGAAACAGAATGCCAGAGACGGTGAACTTGTGTTCATCTCTGAGATCTTTATACCCAGAGATCCCAGCTTTTGGTCGCCACAATATCTTCCGTCAAATCCCATCTTTTTCCCAGCCGAGAAAATTTCTCTGTTTTCCCGAGAAAATTGGCGTGTTTGCCGAGGGAATACGAGCTGTCCACGCCATAGAGCAGGATGGTACCTTGCAAGAGCTCGATGACTCGCCCGTCTCGGTCGAGCTCCTCTGTTTTCCCGAGAAAATTGGCGTGTTTGCCGAGGGAATACGAGCTGTCCACGCCATAGAGCAGGATGGTACCTTGCAAGAGCTCGATGACTCGCCCGTCTCGGTCGAGCCCCTGCCGATCTGCGGCGAGGACCAGTTTGATCGGGTTATGGCTGATGCTCAGGAGCTCGGCGAATCCGTTGTGATTGTCTGGTGAGTTCCCAGGTTACGGGTGTGTTTCTGTTGATTTCATGTGATTCTAGACGAAATTTGTGGGATTGTTTCTCTGTTTAGTGGCGGTGGGGAAAATCGAAATCGTAGACAATCTGGAAAAGGGAATTCGAAGAAGGAAATAGTTCTTTTCCATCCGAACTCGGGATTCTCGTGTAGAGTCAGCAGATTCTATTCTGAAATTGCTGAATTGGGATATTGTCTTTGCGATTCCCAACCCCTTTGCCCTTCTTTCATCTTTGTTGCTCCATTCAACACCTCTTGAGGGCAAGACAGTTGAACTGTAAATTTGTGTACTTTCAGTTTTTTTAGGGTAGAAAGATATTTTTAATTAGAACAATTGATCTTGAGTTTTTCTTGATGTGCAAGAGTTTTTCAAGAAACTCGCAAGCTGAGTAGTGGATCTGTTTGGAAGGGAAGACCATTTTGCAGTGATTGCGTAGAACTGAGAATGTTCACCACTGCCGTGTTGGTGTTCGACGATTTTTTTGAACCGTGATTTAACATTTTTCGCAGAAGATGTGTTTTTGAGGATATTTTTTTCCATTTGATCTTGATTGATTGTATTCCGGTTGGTGAAGAAAGCTCCACGAATCTTGTAGGATGGCAGCCTGGTGCAGGAAATGTATATACCTAAAGCCGAAATTGGAAAAGCTGGCTGCCGAATACTACCCGAGGTTAGAATGGAGATGCATCTCTTGCCCACATATCTTATACTCATGACTACTTTATATCATCCCATATATTGTTCAAGGCAGTGTCCTTTATGTCTGAACTGTGCAAATGAAATTTACAAGATCTTAATAGTTCATGTCATGCCTAGTTCTTCTGATAGAGATCGGACAATCACTTTGACAACCTTCCCTTTAAGCGTCTCTCGGGGTTTAGAAGTCCGATGAGTAAAACCAGGGTGCATTTCATTTTGATTGTCTCGACATTAACATTATACATTGCTTGATGGTTTGATTGAGATTGATTTTAGCCAGTGGCATGTTTCTTCCAGATTGCGGTTTTATCATGTTGATGTGAACGCAGTTCCCTACAGACTTGTTTCTCGTGCAGGAGTTACGGTAAGCTAAACATATAATCTCACCCACCAACTATTCAGATCAGTTAATGAACTCGGGCATCACTGATTTGTCAATACTGACTGTACTTATTCACGCATCGGCGCATGGTATATAACTGTTTGGGACACAGAAAATGCCAACCATACAGGTACTTCCTTTTCATTTTCATTCTCATTCTCACCATCCCATATGTTCCAGAAACTTCCATGTTAGATAATCTCCGATATGCTATTCGATAGACTTCTTCTCCCGCTACAAGTATGCCTTCTCAAGTCCTGTTGGTTTACATGGTTTGGGTCGTGTTTTGAAACTTCTTACTCGCTCTTCTATGACCGTTGCAGCTATGGAGAAACAACGAGAAACAAGCAGAGATTATCGGCGGCCACAAAGCACACTTTGTCATCAACGAAGTCCGGGAGATGATAGAAAACGGCGATTCAACCAATTGAAAATCATGAATCCTTTATCTTTGATTCGCCTTTTCTTTAGTTGAAAATGATAAACAGCCTGGTGGCTGTGCGCACGACCCTGAGTGAAGCCCCTCGACACAAACCAACGTCGTCTACACCAAAAAAAAAATGGAGAAGGATTCAGTTCCTGATGGTGTAGCTGTAAGAACTAAGAACTAAGAACTGGTTTTTGTCATCTGTTTTCAGGTTCTGTGAACTTTTTTGCTGCACATTGGAGTTAGAAACTAGTGTTTTAAACCTTTTGTCCGAAGGAAATTTTTTTTTTTTTGTATTTCTTAGTTTCTTCAATGTGATAAATGTTTTTTTTTTCCTTCTATTTACAGTTTTTGGAATTCTAAGGAATCTGAGGTTTCTGAAAATAGCTCTTATCTCAGTCCATAGCGTTTTATAATGTCTAATCATGGATTGGTATTTTTGTCAGGCTCTGAAATCAAAATACCGGACCAATTTTATGGAATATGGATATAGCTGGGTTTTTTTTTATTTTCAATTAAGATCTGAGAATTGTACCAAAATTAAATAAGATATGATTTTTTTATATAAAATTTAAAACCGAAAATAGAAATACAATCCAAAAGCAAAATGTTCACCTCGTATTCGCAAGTCTCCAATCAAAGCGAGAAAATACGAATCTTGTTAAAAGAGAAAAGAGAAAAAAAAAAAAAAACACGACATTACATTTTTCTTTAAAAGAAAAACATGGCAGTACAAAGGAACTTTGCCAAGATCTGAAATGATCCTACGGTCCTGATGATATCTCCTTCGCCCTCCACTTTAATTTCTTTTTCAACCCAGAAATTAACAAATAAATAAATAAAATAAAAAATAAATAAATAAAGATATTAATAAAACCAAAGTGACATTTTTGAAGAATTACCAGAAGATCAACGCGATCTCGGGGACCTCCATGCTTCGCCTCTTGTCTTCTTCCACATCCCTTCACCTCTGTATTTTCGATCTCATCCCTTAATCTTTTCCATCGTTTTCTAGATTCCCCCCTCCCCCCTTCAATTTTCGCTTCTCGTCCAAACAATACAATGAAATCTATAGAAAAAGAATGTGGGAACCGAGTGTGAAACCTTCTCATTTTCTTCAAATAGTCGTTGTAGGCCATAGGAACATAACCCTCGTATATCTCTCGATTATAAGCAAGCTGGTAAACAATCAAAAACATTAGATTAGAAGTTCGTAAATCCCAAATGCGTTGATATGATCTCATTGGAGTGTGTCCAACCTGATCAACAACTTGTTCCCTCACGGATTTGTGGTGATCAGGAGTGCGGTAAAGCTGGTCTGATAATGAACGGAACTGAGACAATATGAATCTAGTGAGACACACTAACATATATATTAAAAATATATATGTAAGGGGACAGAGGAAAAGAGCAAACCTGGCAGTTGCCATTCCGATTTCTGCTTTCTCCTCCGTCATGCGTCACGTGAACGAGGACGATATCGTCGTTGGAATCCGTTGTTTACGTGAGAGGTAGTGTTTCATCATGATTAGATTCTGATCATCATCTTCTATTCTGTTTGGTTGCGTAGAAAAATAAAATAAAAAAGATGGGTTCTTTTTGTTCTATTTCTAATGTTTCGAGAACTCTCGGGATGCCCTAGAGATAGAGAGTTATGGGTCTCTCTTTTTCAGGGTTGAAAATCGAAATCGAGTCGAAATTTGGAAACTTAATCATCCTTCATCGAGTTGTGGAAAACAAACGCAATTTGCTTTCCTTGTAAGATCCAAAATGCAATGGCCTGTTGGTGTCAAACTGTTAATCTGGTTCGGTTTTTAGATGGTTGAATCCTTTTCTGTCGTGTCTGAATGTCATGCCATAATCTGTTGTTTGTTGCTATCTCTGTGTAATCAGATGAAAGGACATGGCTACTGCTAGTAACATGGATACAAGAACATGCTTGAAAAGTGCTAACCGAGGATCCAATGTGGACCTCGAAGATACTTTGCAGAGGGAGCTCGAATTGTTGCGTCAGCAGCATCATAACCGGCAAATGATTGGCCGAGACCGTGACTTTGATCCACACAGGAGTGGCAGCGCTCCTCCGACGGTCGAGGGTTTGCTGAGATCCATGGATAGTCAGTTTCTGAGCTCTGAGTTTACAGATGTTAGCAACTTAACCGGTAGTAGCAATGGGATTGGGCTTATGTCTGATGATGAGTTACGTTGGCACCCTGCATATCTTTCATACTACTATTCGAATGACCATTCCAATCCCAGGCTGCCTCCTCCGTTGTTGTCCAAAGAGGATTGGCGGGTTGCTCAAAGGTTTCAAAATAGCGAGTTGTTGTTTGATCCAGTTGGGGAATGGAAGAAGAAGGCGGTGGAAGCTGATAACTCATCGCTCTTCTCGGTTCAACCAGGGATTCCAGCCGAGCAGGCAGAGAACGATTTGATTGAACTGAGGAATGCTGTGGCTCAGAGACACTCTCAGAAGACGATACAGTGGCTAGACCGAGGCACCGAAGGGTTAATTGGATTATCAGGGGCTTCTGGACTTGGACCGAGAAGGAAGAGTTTTGCTGATATACTTCAGGTAAGTCCTACAAGATGGTGTATATATATACTCATACTGCTGATCATCTATTACTTGCAGAGTGTTCCTTATGGAACTCAAACACAAATTCTTATTCTATGGATTATATCAATCTCCTTTCACTCACACGAAAAGGACATGAATTTACAGGAAGGACTTGATCGTGATGCCTCTTTATCTAGCCAACTCTCTCGCCCTGCGAGTTGCAACACTTTCCGGGGTGTGAGAGATCCAGCTGTTATATCTAATTTCAATCTCGGTGGACTTCACAACGAATTAGAGCCCTATGAAGCAATGCATTCTAGAGCAGCTCCAAATTTGAGTTCTCCAGTGCCAAGGAATAGAACTCCTGAATCACATCTAGCAGGACGATCTTCGATCCCTACTCTTCCTCCTATTGGTACCAGAGTCATCGGTCCAATTGATAAGAAACACAATGTTGGCTCAACCATCCAGAATTGTGAATCTTACATTGAGGCTGAGGTCTCTGAAGCTGCTGCTACATTGTCTAGGATGAACATGTTGGACATTAGGCATGCAAAAGAAAACCATGTTCAGTCACAGCTTAAGATTGAACTGGACAATCGATCTGATCTTATGTTCAACTCACCCAACGGACATGCGAAGGCTCTGCAGCTACACGATCTTGAGAAACCCAAGTCCAATGATCACTTGTTTTCTGCAAATTATGGTGGATCGATGAGTGGATATGGAGAAAACTTTGGTGCTTCTATGGTAAATGCCCATGGACAGGTCAACATTCCTAAAAGAACTTCCTCTTCTGCAAATCTCTACTCTATTACAGAACCTTCTGGGTTAGGAAGCCTGGGGGTATCTGATGTTCATATCCATGATGCAAACATTAATGGAGCAGACTTCTCCAGAACTGGTGCTTATTTTGCAAATCACAAGTTAAATTCATTGCCTGAGAATTATCTCACCGAAGGTTTCTCTCTCTCTATCTCTCTCTTTCTTCTGCATTTGTGTGCATGAGGCTTTCAGTTAGATTGATCCTCTTAAGGTTTCATCTCTCTGTTTCAGGATCACATTTGACTGGTGAAAGAGATAGACGAAGCATGAATGGAGTGATAAATCAAGTTGCTTCTGACTTTCCCCATCCAGTTTCAGACCCACGTTTTTCTCGGTATACCCAAAGAACTAAGTATACAACTTCTGCCACTTCCGCACCAAACGATCATCCATTTCTTAGAAACAATGTCGGGACTTCACTTGGTGATCCGGATAATGAATGCCTCGCTATGTTGCTTGCTCAGAATAGGCAACAACAGTTGGGTAACTTCAGTGCCCTAAGCTCTAGATTATTCGAGAGTCCTTCATACGATGTAAGCAGCATGTATCTAGGAAACCATTTGCCCACCCCTTCCAAAAACTCGAGAAATCTTCAAAATATGCGCTCAATGATGAAATCTCCTTTCGGAGGATCACATCATTTGTCATCCCGTATAGATATCAGCAGTATGGCAGAAGCCGAATATGCACCATCATTACTAGATGAGTTCAAGAACAATAAGACGAGATCTTTGGAACTATCAAACTTAGGTGGTCATGTGATTGAGTTCAGGTATTTGCCTTGCTATATAACTGATGCCTTACTCGAGATTACTTTTTAACTGAAATCTTTATTTCATACTATATACACAGCATGGATCAATATGGAAGCCGTTTCATTCAGCAAAAGCTGGAGACTGCAACCGTGGAGGAGAAGAACTCGATATTCCCCGAGATTATTCCTTATGCACGTACCTTAATGACAGATGTCTTTGGAAATTACGTCATACAGAAGGTAGCAGCCATAGTTGAAGCTCTTTGAATCCAGATAGCTGTATGAACCAAGTGCTTATTGTGTTTGCTCTGGTTTTCTTCTAGTTCTTTGAGCATGGCACTGAAAGCCAGAGAAAAGAACTCGCCGAGCAACTTACAGGCTATGTTTTACCTCTCTCTCTTCAAATGTATGGCTGTCGGGTTATCCAGAAGGTACTCAACGATGATTTTGTATCTCTGCCGGGAAATTACAATTATCTGATGAACGCCCATCGTAATATCCATATGTAAAAACATTTTCTTAACCTTCTTCCGATGTTTATATGTGCATTTTATCTTTGATTCTTCAAATTTTGATACAGGCATTGGAGGCGGTTGATGTAGATCAACAAACTCGGATGGTGCAAGAGCTAGATGGATCAGTCACGAAATGCGTTCATGATCAGAACGGTAATCATGTGATCCAAAAGTGTATAGAGTGTGTTCCCCAAGACCGGATACAGTTCATTATCTCAGCTTTCTATGGGCAAGTTGTAGCTCTTTCAAGCCACCCTTATGGCTGTCGTGTCATCCAGGTTAGACGTCACGCTTCCTTTCCTCGTTACAGAATTGATTTCCCAGTTTGATTTCGTCTGTAATGATGTGGTTTAAATTTATTTCTCTCTTGAATGACTTCAGAGAGTCCTGGAACATATCGATGATGCAGAAACTCAGCAGATCATTATGAAAGAAATCATGCATTCAGTCTGCACTCTAGCACAAGATCAGTACGGGAATTATGTTATTCAGGTACTATCTATCATTCATGGATCGGCCCCGAATTTCTTGTGCTTGTTATATGCTTTTTACATTATGAACATGCCCTAAAAAATGCAAAAGCATTCAAGAGAAAGCCCTTCCAATTTCTGTAGCATGTCATACAACACGGTAAGCCTCATGAACGGTCAGAAATCATCGGCAAACTAGCTGGACAGATCGTGAAGATGAGTCAACAGAAGTTTGCATCAAACGTTGTGGAGAAATGCTTAACATTTGGTGGACCAGAAGAACGCCAGATTCTGGTGAATGAAATGCTCGGCTCCACTGATGAAAACGAGCCTCTTCAGGTTCATCACTGAAACTTCGCAACCCTTAGTAACTCTGATGAAAGTTACCTCCTTTCTCTCTTCTGTCATTTCAACCTGTGGCTGAGAAAGAAAACTTGCAGGCAATGATGAAAGATCCATTCGGGAACTACGTAGTGCAAAAGGTTCTCGAGACATGCGATGATCGAAGCCTTGAACTCATTCTGTCTCGTATCAAAGTCCACCTGAACGCGTTGAAGAGATACACTTACGGAAAACACATTGTTGCTCGCGTCGAGAAACTTATCACCACAGGAGGTAAGTTAGATTGTTGTTTCTGCATTGTTTTCTTCTTTCAATGGTTTCTCAAAATCGTGTTTTCCTCGTAAACCTTTGTTCTGTTTGTAGAACGACGGATTGGACTCTCATCCTCTCTCGCTGCTACTGCCATTCCCGAGCCATCCGAGTAGATAACTCTTCATCCTTGCTGCTTCATCCAGAGAGAAAGAGAGAGAGAGAGAGAGAGTTCTGATATGAACATATTATCTATTTGTACAGCTAACAAAGCAGCAAGGCAAAGGATGTCTCCCCCACTGAGACTGACCATCTTCTCTAGCAGCGGCAATAAGTGTAAATAAATAGAGAAGTTTAATAATGGTTTTTGGAATAACTCTGCTTTGAGCGTCTTTTACTGGCTGTAAGACGGAGCTCCTGCTATTCAGTTTCTTGTAAAGCATGCCTCTTGGTTTCATTCTGTTGGTATGTTAAAGCACGTAAGCATGTAACTAAGTTGCAACTTTAGTCCCTCAAAATTGCAAGATCTTCTGTTTTGAGCTTCAAGGTTTATTTTCGATCATTTCACTCCCACATACGCTCTGTAACGCAAGATTAGAACTCAGAAGCTCGTATTAAGTAAGAATAAATAAATAAATGTATTCACCACTAAAACGGCTCATCTGTCGTGTATATGTACATCAACGTTTTGCTAGCTAAATCTATTTGTACTAAATCAGTAGAAAGAACAAGAAAATGAATATATCCACAAGAAAGAGGCGAAGAAAGCTCAAAAGACCCAATATTTCTTCTTCTTTGTCTCCAGCATCGGAAGCTCTGCAAGAACGTGGAAACACAAAAATAAAAAACATGTTTTAACAGGAAAGATTCCAAGGTTGTCTTAAAATAGCTGCAAGGTCTAAAAAATGATCTATATACAATACAGAGAGATCATACCTCCTTCAGGATATATTGAATTGTAATGCACCTCAGCCCAGAAGCTTAAGCATATAACTGACGCAAACCAACACCCGGAAAAAGGGTTAGAATCTCAACTGATATATATATATATATAGTCATCACTCTGATGAAGCAAAAGATAATTTTCCAAGAACTCGAATGGGTACGTTTCAGAGTTCATATTTTAGAAAAATAGGAAGTGTCAAAGCATGAGGATGCAACTTACGCCGGTTAGACTTCTGAATGAGCGGTAATATCTCAATGTAGCACGTGTCCTTGAACGAAGTTATCACGAATATCCTGACACCAAACTGCGATGACAACAGAAGAGCGTGGTTCAGTGAAATCTTGCCCTCTTCACTCTACAGAAAGATCTGCTTAAGAGTTGTTTGTATACATATACCCACCAAATCCGCGGAAGCTTGAAGCGTAACATGATCACCCCATTCTCCATTCCTGCATACTGGTACGGGCACTGCAGGTACTCCAAGTCCTGAGATATCTGGGGGAGCCACTCCTCTGCAGCTTCCGGTTTCACCGACCCCTCGAATCGCGGGGTATGCATCGCCCGCAGGTCCT